AGATGGGGAGACGGAGGCTGAGGGCAGGCAGGGCCCTCCATGGGACAGGTGGGGAGACTGAGGCTGAGGGCAGGCAGGGCCCTCCATGGGACAGGTGGGGAGACTGAGGCTGAGGGCAGGCAGGGCCCTCCATGGGACAGGTGGGGAGACTGAGGCTGAGGGCAGGCAGGGCCCTCCATGGGACAGGTGGGGAGACTGAGGCTGAGGGCAGGCAGGGCCCTCCATGGGACAGGTGGGGAGACTGAGGCTGAGGGCAGGGAGGACCCTCTATGGGACAGGTGGGGAGACTGAGGCTGAGGGCAGGGAGGACCCTCCATGGGACAGGTGGGGAGACTGAGGCTGAGGGCAGGGAGGCCCCTCTATGGGACAGGTGGGGAGACTGAGGCTGAGGGCAGGCAGGACCCTCCATGGGACAGGTGGGGAGACTGAGGCTGAGGGCAGGCAGGACCCTCCATGGGACAGGTGGGGAGACTGAGGCTGAGGGCAGGCAGGACCCTCCATGGGACAGGTGGGGAGACTGAGGCAGAGGGCAGGGAGGACCCTCCATGGACAGGTGGGGAGACTGAGGCTGAGGGCAGGGAGGACCTCTATGGGACAGGTGGGGAGACTGAGGCTGAGGGCAGGCAGGACCCTCCATGGGACAGATGGGGAGACTGGAGGCTGAGGGCAGGCAGGGCCCTCCCCTGGGACAGATGGGGAGACGGAGGCTGAGGGCAGGCAGGGCCCTCCCCTGGGACATGTGGGGGAGACTGAGGCTGAGGGCCAGGCAGGGCCCTCCATGGACAGGTGGGGAGACTGAGGCTGAGGGCAGGCAGGGCCCTCCCCTGGGACAGATGGGGAGACTAAGGCTGAGGGCAGGCAGGGCCCTCCATGGGACAGGTGGGGAGACTGAGGCTGAGGGCAGGCAGGGCCCTCCATGGGACAGGTGGGGAGACTGAGGCTTAGGGGCAGGCAGGGCCCTCCATGGGACGATGGGGAGACTGAGGCTGAGGGCAGCGGGCTCTCCCCTGGGACAGATGGGGAGACTGAGGCTGAGGGCAGGCAGGGCCCTCCATGGGACAGGTGGGGAGACTGAGGCTGAGGGCAGGCAGGGCCCTCCATGGGACAGGTGGGAGACTGAGGCTGAGGGCAGGCAAGGGCCCTCCCCTGGGACAGTTGGGGAGACTGAGGCTGAGGGCAGGCAGGGCCCTCCATGGGACAGGTGGGGAGACTGAGGCTGAGGGCAGGCAGGCCCTCCATGGGACAGGTGTGGAGACTGAGGCTGAGGGCAGGCAGGGCCCTCTATGGACAGGTGGGGAGACTGAGGCTGAGGGCAGGGAGGACCCTCCATGGAACAGTGGGGAGACTGAGGCTGAGGGCAGGGAAGACCCTCCATGGGACAGGTGGGGAGACTGAGGCTGAGGGCAGGCAGGACCCTCCATGGGACAGGTGGGGAGACTGAGCTGAGGGCAGGCAGGGCCCTCCATGGGACAGGTGGGGAGACTGAGGCTGAGGGCAGGCAGGGCCCTCCATGGGACAGGTGGGGAGACTGAGGCTGAGGGCAGGCAGGGCCCCTCATGGGACAGGTGGGGAGACTGAGGCTGAGGGCAGGCAGGACCCTCCATGGGACAGGTGGGGAGACTGAGGCTGAGGGCAGGCAGGACCCTCCATGGGACAGGTGGGGAGACTGAGGCTGAGGGCAGGCAGGGCCCTCCATGGGACAGATGGGGAGACTGAGGCTGAGGGCAGGCAGGGCCCTCTATGGGACAGATGGGGAGACTGAGGCTGAGGGCAGGCAGGGCCCTCCCCTGGAACAGGTGGGGAGACTGAGGCTGAGGGCAGGCAGGGCTCTCCCCTGGGACAGGTGGGGAGACTGAGGCTGAGGGCAGGCAGGGCCCTCCATGGGACAGGTGGGGAGACTGAGGCTGAGGGCAGGCAGGGCCCTCCATGGGACAGGTGGGGAGACTGAGGCTGAGGGTCCTTGCCCGGGTCACGGAGGGGCCGCCTGCTGCTGAGAGTCCTGTGCAGCAGGGCAGCCAGGAGCCTGTGGAGCCTCTGCTGCAGCGGCTGCCGGCCTCCTCACAGGCCCTCGGCCAGGCCCCCCGTCTCCGTCTGCACCGAGAGGTATGGGGGAGGGAACGGGCTCAGAGTCACTGCGCGTGAGCTGAGGGCCGGCCTGCAGCCGGGGTCCAGCCGCTCCCCACGGGCCCTCACCGGCCTCCCCTCCCTGCACCAGACGGGCTCTGCCTTTCGGGTCTAACGCAGGCCCCGTCCTCAGGGAGCCATGTGCCCGCCTCCCCAGGCGGCCAGGCTCTCGCCAGCCCTTGTCCCCGTGGGCGGGAGGCACGGGGCTCAAACAGGGGGCTGCTGACACCATCCGGCCTCCCTGAGGGGCAGGGGCCCTGAGCACCCCCGAGCTGCAGGGCCTGAGCACCCCGGTGGGTGGGAGGACCGCAGCCTCACCCGGCGGGCGCGGCCCCTGTCCGGGGAGGGGAGGGCCCAGGGCCCCTGAGGCTGGGTGTGAGGCGCCCCGCTTCCTTCCGGAAGGACTGGAGTCCGCCCAGCTCTGCCAGCCGCGTGGAGCCTTGGGTCCGAGGCCCATCCTCTCAATGCTTTTGCTCCGTCCTTCCTGCCTGCCTCTCGCCCGCCCATCAGAACGACAGCCCCGGCCACCACGCTGTGGCTCACGTGCTGGCTCGCTGCTTCCCCGTCCTCCCCCGCTCTGCGCTGCGCCCCAGGCCCCTCCTGTCCCTGCACCTCCCGTCCTCCTCCGCGTCTTCGCACCCTCGCAGCACGGCTCCCTCTGCCCACACGCCCTTCCTCGCCTCGCCCCTGCCAACGCCCCGACCGCTCTGGGGTCCAGGGTCTGCCTGCTCCCGGCTCCAGGCGGGGGAGCTCGGGGCCTGGGTCCTACCTTCTCGGGGTGCCCACACCTTGGACGGACAGGGCCCAGGCCCCCTTCTGGATGCAGCTGAGCAGGACTCAGGGCCGAAGGGCTGTGGGGAGCCCTCACCCACTGCGCACAGGCAGGCAGGGAGGCGGAAGCCCAGAGAGGGACAGCGACCGGCCAAGGTCACGCCGCAAGCCGGAGCCAGACCCTCTGGCTCTCCCGGTCCTCCTGTCCTTGACCCCACACGCCGGACGAGACACTTAGTAACTAGCAAGTTCCTCCTCTTTCCGGCCGGAGCCCCCACATGTGAGTCGTCCCGTGACCCCTGGGCCACGCTAGGCGGGGACACGGAGCAGCACGCCACCCGGCCCGCGCCCGGCCGGGACTCACCCCACCCAGACGCCCCTTCACGCCCAGAGACACAGGCTCAGGGAGCAGAGCAGGTGCCCAGGTCACACAGCACATCCAGGCCCTGACCCCAGGCTCTGGGAGCAGAGACCGGCCGCAGCCGACCTACCTGGCCCCCAGGTTTGGGGGGGTGGTCCCCGAGCCCGGGGCCGGCCGGCTGTCCTGGGGGGTCTCTCGGCCGTCCGGCATGCTGGGGTCCCGGGGGGCAGCGGCGTCCGGCTCCAGAGCTGCGTGGTGTCCGCCTCGGGCATCTGCTGGGGCGGCTGGGTCTGGCGCTGCACGGGGCTGGCCTTGAGTGGGCAGTAGGGGCGGGCAGGGGGCGGGGAGCCCCTGGAGTGGCCCAAGGAGGCCATTTCCTCTCTATTTCTGGAAGCTGACAACCTCCTCAGTGGCCAAGTTGTCGGGATTGAAGCTCTCCTTTTCTTGGTGGTTTTGTTCCACTCTAGACAAGGAGAATGTCAATGAGGCCAGTGTTCTTTCTCATGCAAATCCACCCCCCTCTCCCAGGAAGCCCTGCCAATCCTCCTCGCTGGCCGAGCTGCACCACCGACCCTGGGGGCTGCTCACGCCACCCTCACCCTGTAGCCTGGGGCTCCCACACACACACCCCTCACCCTGCAGCCCTGCTCACCCCACCCTCCCCCTGCACCCTGGGGACTGCTTACCGCGACCCCTCACCCTGCCGCCCTGTTCCCCCCACCCTCACCCTGCAGCCCTGTTCCCCTCACCCTCACCCTGCAGCCTGGGGCTGCTCCCCCCCACACACCCCTCCCCCTGCAGCCCTGCTCACCCCACCCTCACCCTGCACCCTGGGGACTGCTTACCGCGACCCCTCACCCTGCAGCCCTGTTCCCCTCACCCTCACCCTGCAGCCTGGGGCTGCTCCCCCCCACACACCCCTCACCCTGCAGCCCTGCTCACCCCACCCTCACCCTGCACCCTGGGGACTGCTTACCGCGACCCCTCACCCTGCAGCCCTGTTCCCCCCACCCTCACCCTGCAGCCTGGGGCTGCTCCCCCCCCCACACCCCTCACCCTGCAGCCCTGATCCCCCCCCTCACCCTGCAGCCTGGGGCTGCTCCCCCCCCCACACCCCTCACCCTGCAGCCCTGATCCCCCCCCTCACCCTGCAGCCTGGGGCTGCTCCCCCCCCACACCCCTCACCCTGCAGCCCTGCTCCCCCCACCCTCACCCTGCAGCCTGGGGCTGCTCCCCCCCACACACCCCTCACCCTGCAGCCCTGATCCCCCCCCTCACCCTGCAGCCTGGGGCTGCTCCCCCCCACACACCCCTCACCCTGCAGCCCTGCTCCCTCCCCCCCTGCAGCCTGGGGCTGCTTCCCCCCCCCACCCTGCTGCCCTGCTCCCCCCACCCTCACCCTGCAGCCTGGGGGTTCCTCCCCCCCACACCCCTCACCCTGCAGCCCTACTCTCCCCACCCTCACCCTGCAGCCTGGGGACTGCTCCCTGACCCTCACCCTGCAGCCCTGCTCTCCCCACCCTCACCCTGCAGCCTGGGGACTGCTCACCCTGACCCTCACCCTGCAGCTGTCCCTGGACGGGGCCCACCTCTCCCAGGCCCCCGCTGGCGGCTGCCCTCCAGGAGACAGTCCCCCACTGAGAACTGCCAGGGGCAGAGCAGGGCCCTGGAGCAGACCTGAGACAGGAGACCCAGGAGGGGCCGTCCAGGGCCCCCGGACGCACGTGCGCACGGTCTGTCCTTCAGCTACAGGGGAGCAGTGCTGGTGGTGGGTGTGCCGGCCCCAGACACAGAGGGGGCCTGGGAGGCACCGGAATCCCCTCTAACACTGACTGTCCTCGGTCCCCGGGCACGGGGGTGGCGGGGGGGACAGAGACCCAGCCTTGGGCCTTCAAACCACAGGACCTTGTCCTCACCGCTGGGAGCTGAAGGCCGTGTCCAGGCGCCTCAGGGCCGCCCCCTCCCTCCCAAGGTGCAGGCGCAGGCGCAGGTGCAGGCCCAGCTCAGGCCCCGGGTTCTGGTGCCGACGCTCACTCCCACTTCCGCCGCCACCTTCTCAGGCCGCTGCCCCTCTGTCACGCCTTCACCAATGGCATCTGTAAAGACCCAACTTCCAAGTCAGGGTACACTCCAGGCTCCGGCTGGACACGATTTTGGGGAGATGTGATCCGACCCAGAATAGCTTGTTTACCGAAGGCAACGGTGGGGAGTCCGTCTCCAAAAGGGGGCCGTGAGGGGGGCTGCTTGGGGGACAGGGCCGCTGGCTGGAACCAGAGGTGCTCTGGGGACCCGTCCGGTGTGACAAGGTGGGGCCCAGCCCACGGCACACAATGCAGAGACAGCCGTGGGCGGCACCCCTGAAGCCACAGGTGCCATGTGTGGTGGCTGCACGTGTGTGTGTGTGTGTGTGTGTGTGTGTGTGTGTCCCAGGGGAGGGCTCCAGCCCTGGGCAGACCCTCAGGTCTGCAGGTGAGTGAGGAGCCATGGGGAGGGAAGCCGAAGCTCCGAGTTACAGACCTGGTTCACCTCCTGCCTCTCCTGCCTGTTTGTCTATTTTTTTTTTTTTAGAACTGTCAGTTTTTGCTGTTGTTTTAGTCTATTTTTTATTGACTTCAGAGAGGAAGGGAGAGGGAGAGAGAGAGAAACATCAGTGATGAGAAGGAATCATGGATCGGCCGCCTCCCCCGTGCCCCCTACTGAGGACGGAGCCCACAACTCAGGCTTGTGCCCTTGACTGGACTAGAACCCGGGACCCTTCAGTCCGCGGGCTGACGCTCCGTCCACTGAGCCACACCCGCCAGGGCCCTCCTGGGTCTTTGCCGAGTGACCTGGGCGAGGGCCTCCCCCTCTGCACCTGAGCCTGCCGCACGCGGGTGGGTCGGTGGTCGCGGCTGCCTGGGGGGTGTGGGCGAGGAGCCAGCGGGGACTGGGAGGTGCCCAGCCGCAGCGGGTCGCAGGGCTTCCCGGGGACTGCTCTGGGCCGGGCGGTACCTGGCTTTCGGGATTGCCTGCCTCCGCCCTTCCCAGGGGTTCAGGGGAAGCAGGAACGGAGGCTCCCGGAGGCGGCCTGTGGGGACACGCCGAGCCAGTTTTCCCTCCTGAGATTAGATAGGAGGCGGAAGTGGGTGAGCCGGGAAAGGGAGAATGAGGGCATGCGGGGCGGGAGCCGGCAGGCCTTGGACCGGAGGGGAGGGGCGGGAAGGACCGGGTGTGCGGAGGGTGGAGCCCTCCCTCCAGTGGCTGTGGACCCGAGTGACCGCCCTGAGCAGACGGGGTCCGGGGCCCCCCTGCGCAGGGAGGAGGCCACCCAGGCCCTAACACACCCTTCCGTGGGCAGCAGGCCTCTGGCCTCGGCTCCCTCACCGGCCACACGGGCTGCACCTGCTCCTGTGTGGGCTGCCCCTCGGCCTGGGAGGCACCACCCCATCCATCGCCCCGACAGCCCCCTCACCGCCCCTGTGAGCCCATGCCCCCCACCCCTGCCCCCCGGCATGCCCTCACCTTCATCTTACTCCGATGCGCCTGTTGCCAGGAAGGCAGGCTCCTCCGACCACAGTGCCCGGCAGGGAACGGGCGCTCAGCAAACACCTGTCGGAGGGACGGCCTGTGGCCGCCGAGTGCCACTTGGCTCAGCTGTGGGCCCGGCCGCGGGGACCCCACAAACAACTCCTTTTGGAGGTGGCTCCTGGGCGTCTGCAAGCAAAAGAGGGGCTTCGTGTAACAGGCCGGGCGACCCAGACGATGATTCAACCCGAAGGTATGCTGTTTGGTGAAGGACAGGGTGAAAGGGTGGTTAGGGACACGGAGAAAAACAACTTACAAGAGGAAGTCACGGCACAAGACGGGATGTGGGGACGGTCAGCGAGGAGCTGGAAGAAGGTAGAGTCGCCGTGTCCTCAGCGCGAGGTGTGCTCTCTCGGCCCCCCCCCACCCCTCCACCCCCGCCACAGGGAAGGCGGCCACCCACAGGGAAGGCAGCCACCCACCCAGCCGCCCGGCCCGGCCAGCACAGCACAGTCCTCGCTCGCTCCCTGGCTCCCAAGCTGACCATCAGGACCAGTTTTCCGATCCATCTCCCAACGCCCTTCACCACTTTCGCCACATCTGCCTCTGGGACTGCACAGCATGTAATCATTTTCGTCACCTCGGCTCCCTTTAAAAATTTTTAAATTGAACCTGGTCAGTGTGGCTCCGTGGTTGAGCATCGACCTAGGAAACCAGGAGGTCAGGGTTCGATTCCTGGTCAAGGGCACAGGCCCGGGTGGCGGGCTCGACCCCCGGTGTGGGGCGTGCAGGAGGCAGCCGATCCAGGATTCTCTCTCATCATGGATGTTTCTATCTCTCTCTCTCCCCCTCTCTCCCGTCCTCTCTCCGAAATCAATGAAAAAAACTAAAAAAAATGTTTAAAAATTAAAAATTGAGGCCTTGGCCGGGTAGCTTAGTTGGTTAGAGCATCATCCTAATACGTCGAGGTTGTGGGTTCGATCCCCGGTCAGGGCTCACGCAAGATCGACCAATGAGTGCATAAATGAGTGCAACAACAATCGATGTTTCTCTCTCTCCCCTTCTCTACCTAAAATAAATAAATAAATAAATTTAAAAATTGTTTTAATTTGACTCTCATTTCACCCTAATTAGATTTATGACACCACAAGTTGAAGGGCTCGTGATAGATACACGTACCTACACAGATATTTCCCAATACACGTTAAACATGAGACTCTTCTTTTAAATGTCCATTTACCGCCCGGCCGGTGTGGCTCAGGGGTTGAGCATCAACCTATGATCCAGGAGGTTAGGGTTCAATTCCCGGTCAAGGGCACATGCCCAGGTTGCAGGCTTGATCCCCAGTGTGGGGTGGGCAGGAGGCAGCCGATCCATGATTCTCTCTTATCATTAAAGTTTCTCTCTTTCTCTCTCCCTCTCCCTTCCTCTCTGAAATCAATAAAAATATGTTTTTAAAAAAATAGCCCTGACTGGTGTGGCTCAGTGGATAGAGCATCAGCTTGAAGACTGAAGGGTCCCAGGTTCGATTTCGGTCAAGGGCATGGACCTTGGTTGCGGGCACATCCCCAGTGGGGGGCGTGCAGGAGGCAGCTGACCGATGTTTCTCTCCCGTCGATGTTTCTAATTCTCTATCCTTCTCCCTTCCTGTCTGTAAAAAATCAATAAAATATATTTAAAAAATAATAATAATATAAACACCAATCAGAAAGGATATATGCACCCCTATGTTCATAGCAGCACAATTCAGCATAGCTAAGATCTGGAAACAGCCTAAGTGCCCATCAGTAGATGAATGGATTAGAAAACTGTGGTACATCTACACGATGGAATACGATGCTGCTCTAAAAAGGAAGGATCTCTTACCATTTGCAACGTCATGGATGGAACTGGAGAGCATTATGCTAAGTGAAATAAGCCAGTCAATGAAGGAAAAATACCACATGATCTCACTCATTCATGGATAATAGAGACCATTATAAACTTTTGAACAATAATAGATACAGAGGCAGAGCTGCCTCAAACTGATTGTCAAACTACAGTGGGAAGGCCGGGGAGGGTTGGGGGGCAGGAGGTAGGGGGGTAAGAGATCAACTAAAGGACTTGTATGCATGCATATAAGCATAACCAATGGACATAAGACACTGGGGGATAGGGGAGGCTAGGGGACTGTCTAGGGCGGGGGGATAAAAAAAAAAATAAAAATAAAAAATAAAAAATAATAATAAATGTCCATGTACCACCTCTACAATTTGATCATAGGACACTTTCAGAATCTGCTATAGAAGCTGGGAAATTAAAAACGTTTTTTTCATTAAAGAAGGTAAATGTCACTCACGGAAACGGCTGACAGGGCGAGAGGTGAACAGGCTGCTCGCACCCTCGCCTGACGCTGAGGCTGTGAGATGCTGTGAAAGTGGGTGGAGAGAGGGGAGTGGGGTGACCACGCTGTTCACACACAGGCGCTAAGAACAGAACGAGAGTCAGACGCGGTGGCTGGCGGGAGGGAGTGAGGGGGAGGAGCTACGTCACTGCACACAGGCAAGGCTTAGGGCTGATCCATCTGGATCTGGAGATAAGCTAGGCTTTAAAACTGTGAAACCCTCTCTAGAAAGAGGTATTCAGAATAAAAACGGTTAAGCCCTGACCGGTGTGGCTCAGTGGGTAGAGCGTCGGCCTGCGGACTGAAGGGTCCCGGGTTCGATTCCGGTCAAGGGCGTGTACCTTGGTTGCGGGCATATCCCCGGTGGGAGATGTGCAGGAGGCAGCTGATCGATGTTTCTCTCTCATCGATGTTTCTAGCTCTCAATCCCTCTCCCTTCCTCTCTGTAAAAAATCAATAAAATATATTTAAAAAAAATAAAAACAGTTTCTTTAAAAAAAGGTGCCTCAGGGGCCGGGGCAGGAGAGAACCGCTGTGTATTCTCAAAATCAGAGCATCTGGCCGACTGTTTTGCTGCTACGTGTGTGTGACACAATTTTTATTTATTTATTTTTTTATTTCAAAACGCTGCAGCCTTCGGCTCTGGCTGGAGGCCTCCTGGCCCAGGCCCAGGCCCAGGGCTAAGGCGGGACGCGGGCCTCTGCTGGCCCCTGGTGGCCGCAGCACCCCCACCTGCCCGTAAGAGTCCCAGGGGCCCCGCTGTCCCCATCTTTTCCACCCGCCTCGCCGTGCGCGCGCCTGGCTGCCCCCTGTCCTCCCGGGCCCCTTGTGAACTGGATGGGTGGGGCCCGGGTCCGGGACCAGAGCTGAGCTCCTCACTCAGGACGCAGGTTCTCGGGCGGTTCGGCCACCAGGATGGCTCTCCCGCAGGCGGGGGCAGAAGGGAGCGGGGGCAGGGCTGGGAGCCGGTGGCGTGCCCCTAGGACCAGGCCCTTTGGGGCAGGAGGTCCAGGCAGCGGAGGAGGAGGCGGCGCCCTCTGCAGGAGGCACCCTCCTCCCGCCCGTGGGTTGGCACCGAGGGCCGTGAGACCTGCGTGGATCGGAGGGCACGGGGACCCAGGCCACGCCCCCTTGCTCGAGTCTGCGTTTCCTCCTCTGTGAAACAGGGAGTCTTGGTTGCCAGGGGAGACACCCCAACAGAAACCAGCTTAGCAGAAAGGAAACAAACAGCTCAGACAGCCCAAGGCCAAGGTCAACAACGGAGGGGGGAGGGGAGAGGTACGGACTGGGACAGTCACACCTGGACAGGCTCCCCCCTCGGCCCCTCCCTGTCCTCAGGCTGCACCGGCCCCTCCTGGGGACACACGGAGCCGGAAGGCCGGGTCAGCTCCCACCCCGCCTGCACCCTCCGCAGGCCCCGCCCGAGTGACACAGCAGAGCCCGGCTCTCCTGTGAACAGCCAGCGGGCAGCTCAGCGACGCTCTCGCCCCTGTATCTGCTCCCCTCCCTCCCCCTCGGCTCCTGTCCCCTCGCTTCTGTGCCCTGGGACCCACTCCCAACAAAGCCGTGGGTAGCGGTTCTCAACCTGGGGGTCGTGACCCCTTTGGGGGTCAAATGATCCTTTCACTGGGGTCGCCTAAGACCATCGGAAAACACATCTATAATTACCTATTGTTTTTGTGATTGATCACTATGCTTTCATTATGTTCAATTTGTAACAATGAAAATCCATCCTGGATATCAGGTATTTACATGACGATTCATAACAGTAGCAACATGACAGCGATGAAGTAGCAACAAAGATAATGTTATGGTTGGGGGTCCCCACAGCATGAGGAGCCGTATTAAAGGGCCGGCATCAGGAAGGTTGAGAACCACTGCCTTGGGGCATGGGCTTGCTGGGGGCTGTTTAGGGAGACCTGGGCCCTCACAGGCTGTGTGACATTGGATTTGTGACTAACCTCTCTGTGCTCCCGTTTTCTCACCTGCAGAGGGCGCTCTAATAACCTGTACCCCACGGGGTGCGGCGAGTTAGCACCCAGCAGTGTGGACACCTGCACTAAGAGCCGCTCTGACCCTTTTATTACGGGGACCCCAGGAGGCTCTGGACTGGGACAGGGGCAGGTCCCCATGAAGCTGGGGGATGGGCTGCGGCTGGGGACCCCCAACATTGGGGAGCTCTGGCGGGGGGTCTGGTCTGAGCCTGGGACCTCTCCACTGCTGCCTGGGCTGGCTGTGTGGGTGCCTCCCCAGGGGTTGGCTGAGCCACCCCAGGCCTCCGTGCTGGCGAGAGGCCCAGGCGAGGAGTCGGGGCCGGGGTGGGCCGGCGCTGCTCCGCATGGGAATCGCACCGCGGGGGTGGCGAGCCGCCTGCTCAGCCCGTGTCCTACTTCACGACAAACCGGCCAGGCCAGGCGGCCGGAGGGAGGTGCACAGGGCGCACCTCTGCCAGGCCGGGCCCAGGCCAGGCCCTCGGTGCCAGCAGAGCCGTCCCCCTCCCAGGCCCGCTCCTCACGCCCTCGGGCACAGCTGGGAGGAGACGGGTGCCCAGAGAGGCTCACGCTCAGGAGTGGGGGGCTGCTCCCCGCCTCGTGGTGCTGGGAGCCTGGTCTTTGAAACGGGTGAGGAGGGACGTGACCCTGGTGCCCCCTGTGCCCAGAGCCGTGCCAGGCGTCCCCATCCACGTGCCTCATCGGGTGACCCGGTCGTGCAGGGGGACGCTGGCAGGGCTGGGAGGTGCTGAGTCCCCAGCGAGCGCTGAGCTGGGGCCCAGGCTGCCCCGCGTGCGTCGGAGGATGGGGTGGCGGGGTCGCCCTGGCCGGGACGGAGCCCCCCTCCTATCCTCAAGGACCTGTGGATGCCCAGTGCCGCGGTCACAGCTGGAGGAGCCGGCGGGTTCCCTCACGCTGCCACGCGGGCGGAAAACATTTTCCTTTTTCCAAACGGGAGTTTGAGCCCCTCCACAGGCCACTCTTGGCTGCTGAGACTCCAAGAGCCCCCTTCTCTTTGTTTTAATGTATTTTATTGATTTTTTATAGAGAGGAAGGGAGAGGGATAGAGAGTTAGAAACATTGATGAGAGAGAAACATCGATCAGCTGCCTCCTGCACACCCCACACTGGGGATGTGCCTGCAACCAAGGTCCATGCCCTTGGCCGGAATCGAACCCGGGACCCTTCAGTCCGCAGGCCGATGCTCTATCCACTGAGCCACACCGGTCAGGGCAGGAGCCCCTTCTTTACGGGAGTCTCCCTGAGGCAGAACCAGACAGACCTTGACTCCCTCCGTGCCCCCCAAAGGCACAGGGAGCCCCAGGGAAGAGCCCGGCCTGGCAGGTGGGGACAGTGGGGTCAGCCCCGCCCGGCCCTCCCTGAGCACCGGGACCTCCTGAGCCAGCAGCCGTGAGCGCCTCTCTCAGGGCTTTGCACCCACACGGCCTCCCTCACCCCGGCTTCCCGCTCACTCCGCCAGCAAGCCCTGCCCGACGCCCTGCGTCCCCATCTTTCCCTCCTCGGAGGCCTCCTCCCGCCACTGTCAGCGACACAGCTCCCCTTTCTCCCTCTCTCCCTCTCTCCCCCGCCGAGGACTTTCCCGCAAAAGTCCCGCGGGGTCCGAGGTCTGACCACACGCTCGGGCAGATGCGTCCAGGCCCGTGTGGCCACGCGCCCATCTCTGGGGACCGGCACCTGGGTCACTGCTGAGGACGTCCCAGCCCGGCCGGGGGGGGGGGGGGGCAGGGGGGTAGCCGCGTGCTGACAGTGGGGACAGGACAGGGCCCTCCCGCGTCAGGCGTCCCTGTGCCTGCAGGGCAGGCTCCGCGCTGGGGCACTGACGTTCGCTCTCCCACGCCCCCACCACCCCCCACTGCCGCCACCACCGCGACTCACCTGACAGGTGCGGACACACAGGGGGCAGAGCACGGGCTCCGGCCCCGCGGGGCACCTGCCAGCGCATCCTCGCATGGGTCCCTCGGGACAGGCCCCTCCCGGGGGTCCGAGCGGTTCCTGGCGGCAGAGGCTTTTCCATGAAGGAGGGCGTGGGTCTGTGGGGAGTTTGGGGGGACAACGCGCCCAGAAACCCGGGTGTGGGAGGGAGAAGCGGCCGGCGCGCCAGTGATGGCGGGGAGAACCGTGGGCCGGGAGGAGGGCCGCCCAGGAGGAAATGCAAGTTCGGACCTTTGAGACGCGAAGGTTTTGGGCCTGTGGTTGGCAGCATGACGGCCCCGAAGATGCCCGTGTCCGGCCTCCAACCACCACAGACCGGCGACGGTCAACTCATCTGTCAGAGGCACTTCCAGGCTGAGGGCTCCCGGGTGAGGATGGCCCGGGCCACCCAGGGGGCCAACGTGGCACAGGGATCGTATAGGAGGGCGCGGAGGGCCACATGCCTGCAGGAGAGGCGGCGATGGGCACAAAGCCAGAGAGAGAGAGAGGGAGATGGGGGGGGGGGGGAGGGAGGAAGATGCTCTGTGGCTGGCTTTGGCGACGGGGACGAGGCCGGGAGCCACGGTGGCAGGCGGCTCCCAGAAGCCGGAGGAGGAAAGAAAGGGGCTTCCCCTCCCGCCCAGAGACCGCAACCCCGACAGCACTGTCATTCCAGCCCCGCGAGGCCCAGGTTCCAGCTCTGACCTCAGAACCGGAGAAAAAACACACGTTTGCCTTAAGCCACTAAGTTTTTGGCATTGCCTCCAGCAGCCGCAGGAAATGATCCAGGGCTCGGGGCGGGCACGGGGTGGGGCACGGGGCAGGCACCTTGTGGGGTACGGGGCGGGCACAATGTGGGGCTTGGGGCAGGGACAGTGTGGGGCTCCGGGCGGACACGGTGTGGGGCTCGGGGCGGGCACAGTGTGGGGCTCGGGGCGGGCACGGTGTGGGGCTCGGTATGGGGCACGGTGTGGGGCTTGGGGTGGGCACGGTGTGGGGCACGGGGCAGGGACAGTATGGGGCACGGGGCAGGGACAGTGTGGGGCACGGGGCAGGGACAGTGTGGGGCACGGGGCAGGGACAGTGTGGGGCTCGGGGCAGGGACAGTGTGGGGCACGGGGCAGGGACAGTGTGGGGCTCGGGGCG